TGTCATGGTTGCTAAAGATACGGCAGCCAATTCTGTTTTACCAATGTGACCGACTGAAAAAATTGAAACAACGGTAAGTGAGTATTGCAAGAAAAATGTGACAATTAAAGGTGCAGAAGACCTGGCAATAAACAATAATTCTCCAATTGTTGATGTGTTAACTTTAAACCTAGTTTCATTTTCATCAGATCTATCATCTAAATACAACTTTGGGGAATCATTAGTTAAACAAATATTCTCATTTGCTTCGTTCAACATGCTTCATCAATACTTCTCAATTTTAGATAGAAACTTTTTGAAGTGGTTATAAATGTTCAAATACTGCGCATGGAAATTTTGACAGTGTTCTAAATGTCAATTTGTGGATGATGCGCTCTTGATGAGCGCATCAGTAATTATCATCTAGTTAAATTAGACAAGGGCGCATCTCTTTATCTCGTTTTTTTTTCGATTCCAATTTGCCTAGATTAAGCGCAATAAAAAAAAATTGTCGATTTAAGCAAAAACAGTCTACACACTTCGGGTTTCTCTGATACACAACTACAAAGAATAATTGTTTCAATCCTAGATAATGTCGCGGATAGATTGTAGATGAAATTTTAACTCTGAAGATGATAATGAGTTAAGTATCCTAAGAAAAATTATAAATTTGAAAGATTCTTCTGAGTATTTTTTATCAATATAATGCGCTAATTATACCTCAATCATGAACGATAAATTAAAAGAAAAACTTAAAAGCACTTTAATAATACTCGAGGTTCCTCATGAGGGTCATGAAAAGCCTAATGCATTGCAAAATCCAGATTTAGAACCTATGCCTCCCTCAAGAAGAGTTTGGGGATTTTGGTCTTTTTTTGGATATTGGGGAGTCCCAAATATAACAATTTGGACTTGGTCTACTGGTAGTGCTATGATGGCTCTTGGATTAAGTATTGGTCATATTATGGGAGCCTTAACTTTAGGAAATATCATCATTTGTATTTATACTTGTCTTAACTCTGGGCCTGGTTCAAAATACCACATTGGTTATACTGTTTGCCAAAGAATAATTTTTGGCGTTTACGGTTCAGGAATAGGAATAATGATTAGAATAATATTGTCAATTGTATTTTATGGATCACAAAGCTGGTTAGGTGGACTTGGAATGGTGGTTCTTTATTCCAGTCTAAGTGAGAACTTCTTAAACTTGAAAGATACATTACCGGAGAATCTTGCTATGACAACAAGAGACTTTCTTGGATTTCTTTCATTCCAAATTCTCCAGCTTTTTTTTTATTTTATGAGACCTGAGAGAATGAACAAATATGTCAATTTCTCTTGCTTTATTACAATCGTTGCGTTCATTGGAGTGTTTGTTACATGTTTGGCAAAAAATGGGGGACCCGGTGAAATATATTATGAAAAAGTAGAAATGAGCAAAATGAGAATTGGATGGATGTGGTTGTATTCAATGACAATTTGGTACGGTGCTCTTTCTCCAGATATCACTAACCAAAGTGATTTTTCAAGGTTTGCGTCTTCAAAAAAAAAGATGTATACTGGAATAATAAGCTCAATAATGGTGACTGGAACTATTGTTCCCTTGTTTGGTTTGATATGCGCATCTGCCACTAAAGATCTTTATGGAACAGAGATGTGGTTACCAACAGATATAGTATTAGAATGGCTACATTCTGATTACTCACCTGGGTTACGTGCAGCTTCGTTTTTTTTGGGGTTCGCATTTGCAGCGTCACAGTTGTCCTTCAACGTATTAGCAAATGGTTTTGCTGGAGGCATGGATTTAGCAGGAGTTTTCCCTAAGTTTATCAATATTCGTAGAGGAGCATTCTTAACCGCCTTATTATCATGGGTCGTGCAACCATGGAACTTTTATAATACTTCGTCGACATTTATAAGTGTGATGAGCTCCTTTGGGGTAGTAGTTACACCGATTATTGCAATTATAGTAGCTGATTTTCATGTCATACGAAGACAAAAAATTCCTTTGAGAGATTTATATACTACTGCACTGGATGGCACATTTTATTTCACCAGAGGTTTTAATTTTAGAGCAATTATAACCTGGCTAGTAACAACTATTCCGGGAATTCCAGGAATAGCTGCGAGTGTTCAGGCTACAAAAGTTCCAACAGGTTTTAATCATTTTTTCTACGGTAGCATTTTATTTTCATTCCTTTGTCCTTTTATTTTATACATAGGTGTTTGCAAACTCTTTCCTTTTAAAAATCCTGGAGTAAATGATGAATATGATCATTTTAATGTTTTCACATTAGAAGAATGCACTTTGATGAATATGGCCCCATATGTTGAAGTAGAGATCATTGAGGGTATAAAGAACAACTTGAAGGGCGAAGACTCTTCGGTTCATGAAAAAAATCCTTACGATATAGTTTCAACTAAAGTTTAGCCTGGAAGTTTTAAACTTTATTTATGGTACTTATTATATACGTTTTATCTTTATGGTTTGTTATAGTGTTAAATGGAATGTTATAATTATGCAACGCAAGCTCTTTTGATTTAACCACATTCTTTAATTTCAAGATATGCCGGTAGACTTAAATAATTTATTAAGACATGTTATTATAACTTAACAAAAGTAATTTCTTAACGATCTTCTAGCTAACCCAAATATCGAAATATTATTGTTCATATGCGCTTCTAATATCAATCAGTTGCGCTCATAATTTTACTTAGATGCGTTCTAAATTTGTTATATTGAGATTAGCAAAATAAATATTTCGCACATAGAGTATAGGAGACAATATAAGAGTCAACCGAATATGATTTCCAAAAAGCGCAAAACTTTTGTCTAGATAACGTTTGATGCGCTTCAAGTATGCGCTTCAAGTATGCGCTTCAAGTATGCAGTACTTTATGATAATGATACCTCTTTTTGCGCTTAATCGAAGCTACTTCACTAGAATAGTATTATAATCAACAATTACGAATAGCAAGATTCAGGTATAAATACTGTTAAATTTCTGGATTGAAAACTTTATATTTTGTTAAGATAATCAACACAATGATTTTTCATTTAGACAAATTTTTTTCAATTCTTGCCGTTCTCACGAACGTACATGGAACAATTCTCCCATATTCTTCAGACCAACAGATGGTTTTAGAATGCGAAACAATCAATAAAATTGAAGCTGATAATTATGTAAGAATTAACCAAGGTAGGGATTCTATGCAAACATCTCGTACTGGGAAACAAGTATCTGAAATGTCCTTTTTAGATCGTTACTTTGGTCCCTTTCTTGAAACAATGGATAATGATCTTCAGACAAAATCTTTCCAAGGAGTAGAAAAAAAGCAGCCAATTCAACTAGAGGATAGGTTACACTCGTTGATGATCAATGATGATTATGAGTATCCTGATAAGGATGATTTACGTGATATAAATGGAACTAACACCTTATACCGAGGTGGGGAATTTGGTGGTATTGCAACATTTGCTCATATACCATATGCTAACTGTTATGATCCTGAATTTTCGAAAAGAGAAATATGATATTGCTATAGTTGGAGCACCGTTTGACTCAGGAGTATCCTATAGACCTGGTGCAAGATTTGGACCAAACGGTATTCGTATGGGGTCACGTAGGTTAGCTCCCGCTTACTCTGTCTATAGAGATGGATTTGATCCATATTCAAACTGGGCTAAGATTGTGGATTGTGGTGATCCACCGGTGACACCCTTGGATAACAGAATTGCCTTAGACCAAATTTATCGTGCTAATCGAGCTATCGGTAAGCACAAAACTACAGAAAAAAATAAAGATAAATCGCCAAAAATTTTCACTCTTGGAGGTGATCACACAATCACTTTGCCTGCAATTAAAGCAGCATACGAGAATTGGGGTCCAATTACAGTAATCCATTTTGATTCACATTTAGACACTTGGAATCCATATTACTTTGGTGGAAATGTTACTGATTACCAATCTGTAAACCACGGTACGTACCTTCACTGGGCTCACGAAAAAGGATTATTGACTGACAGGTCAATCCATGCCGCTATCAGGGGACCTTACCCTGGACCAAGAGATGTTGAACATGATAAGAAATGTGGTTTTGACAGGATTTTAGCAAGAGATATTGACAAAATTGGAACCCAGGGAATTATTAATAAAATTAAAGAAAGGGTTGGTAATGGTGCTGTTTATATTACTGTGGATGTCGATTCAATGGATCCAGCTAATACCCCTGCTTCTGGTACAGTTGAACCAGGTGGATGGACATCGAGGGAATTATTAACCATTTTAGATGGTTTGAAAGGCCTTAATGTTGTAGGAGGTGATGTTGTCGAAGTTGCTCCTCCATACGATACCGCCGCAGAATTGACTTCAATTACTGCTGCTCAAGTTGCAGATTCTATTATTTCTCTTATGATATTAAAAGAAGAAGAAGAAGATAAAAAGGTTCAAGAGATTCATTAAGATTCTATGTACGCTTTTATAATTTAATTGATTGAATTTGTTATTATTCTTAAGAGAGCCAGAACGAACTAATACAAAATATTGAAATCTGTAATTGTTTAAGAAATCTCGTAGTATTACTCTCAAAACAAATTAACAAACATTTCCCATAAATAATGAAATAATAAGCTCCAATATATATTTCATATCTATCTGAACCCTATATATTTTGCTATAATCAGTCATACCTCGTTGTAGTTTACAATACACAATCCTTGGCCAGCAAACTTGTCGAAGATGTTCAATCTCGCAAAAAAATATTTATTTTGCTGCAACCTACTAAATGCAGTTACTTAAAATTTTCACTTTAAATAGTTGCCTTAAAAACACACCCATAGTCAAGCATATTATTGAAGATTTATCTTTGTAATTTTTGAGTACCGTCATTTTTTCTTTATTTATTACATGGTTAAATGGTTAACTCACATTCATTTGAATGTTTGTGAGACGTTGGTTTGTCAAATACATTTGAACTAAAGATAAAAATGATAATGGCAAATTATAAGGAGTTAAATTAAATCAGTTATTGAATAATATTATTCTGGTTAAATTGCTACAATATACATGGTTAAATGCTTTTGGTAAGCAATAACGTTTAAATACATAAGTTGAACGTTTATTCGAATAATAGGTATGCTATAATATAAATTAATGTTTGTACATTTCTCGCTATTCTATAAAACAAAAACGATGTACCTTCTTCTTTATATAAAGAAGTTAAAAATAAAACTGGTATTTATATTATAATTAATAAAACTAGCCTAATATTTACTAGATTCTGGTTCTTCAAATATAGATTACATCTAGATTTAATACCTGTTTTTATCTTGGATATATATATATATATATATTAATATTTTCAGGCTCTAATATCTTACTCATGTTACCCCGTGGTTATTGTGTGATACTTGAATTTGACATCAATAAAAAGTAAAACTAGGATTTAATAAATACTATTATGCTGCCTGTTTAAATGTAGGTCAAGCCAAAACAAATTCATAGAATTCAAATATTCAAAATGTCTATTAGTAATTTCCCCCAGCATTCACCTATTCTTTTATTAATTAGATTATTAGTACACCCGTCAGGCATAAATTCCATTATTATATATTCATCAACCTTCCTCAGATGTGAAGTCAGTCAGAACATCTGTTTAAAACTACAATAAAATATGCCAAACTGGGATAGGTTGATCATTGCCGACGATGATAAGATAATCTCAGAATCCAAATACGATATTGGACAGCAATTTATTGAAGGAAGGAGTATAGCTAAAGTTACTGAGTGTGACATTTTTACCGATTCCAAAAGTAATTGATGAAATCTTGAAAGTTAAACAATTATTAGGTCCTCTTACTTGAGAAGATGATCCAATCATAAAATATGTTGGATGAATTATAAGTTCAAGGGTATTTCTCCTCTTCCAAATCCTCAATCTTCTACTAACTTTAGTATTTCTGATACAATGAAGCTATTCTAATTCCTAAATTACCCAAAATAATCAATGTGATTATGAAGGTGAAATAAGGACATTGAAGAAATAGATGCAGTTAGCTATATTGCTAGATATGTGGTTGCTGATGATATTTTATTCGGCCTTTGGCAAGCACATCCAGATTATGCAGGTACCAACCCACAGGTACGTTTTTTCAAAAAGTTTTGAAAGATATGCACCTTTATTTGTTTCCTCAAAAATCAGTAGGAACCCAAACCTTCAACTTCAAACTAAAATAAACCGAGATATTCGTCAAAATGCAAATACAAATGAACTTATATTCAGAATCCCAGAAATTATTGCTTTTTTAAGTCAAGGAACAACGTTGTAACAAGGAACTATAATAATGACTGATATACCCACTGGTGTTGGTGCAGTAGATCAAAAATATCTTAATTATGGAGATCTTGTTGAGATATTTATTGAACAGATAGGTAGTCTTTTCCACAAAGTCACTTACGTTTAGTGTAATGCTCTTGAGTAAATATAAAATAAGAATTACATGATACTAATTAATTATCATTTAAACTTTTAACAATTGTTGTCTAGGGTTTCAAGATTCTTATTAATAAATTTTTTCATATCCTCTTGAGAAATCCGTAGTACAATTGTGTAACAGCAAGTAAGAAAATTAACTTCAAAATCACTTCAAAACATTAAATTAAATTGCAGAAAAAAATACATAACTAAACAAGAATAATTTTCTTTTCAGTACTTGATACTTGTGAAGAAACTTTATTTAAGTGGTGGCTTATTTCATTATTCAAAACAGCGTTATCACCTGCCATCTTAATATCCGTAATATCTTCCCCAAATATTTGCGCCACTTCTTCTAAGCCCAATCCCTGTGTTTCTGGGAAAAAGAAATAAACCACGACTCCTTGTATAAAAATCCAAACACAGAAAACAATATAATATCTCCATGATATGGCATCCATAGCAATGTTGTTAACATAATTATTAAATAAAACCCATCCCTGACTTGTTAAACTGTACAATAACGCTGCTTTACTTCTCAAAGTATAAGGTACAACTTCCATACAGTACGTATTACCTATTGGTGATATCTGATGGTAGAATCCATAAAATAAGTAAATCACTGCAACAATTCCTCTCCCTAAAGACTTATTTTCAAAGTTGGTTCTCTCATTTATGGATGCTAATATAATCCAAACAATGAAGGTTATGCACATTAAAAAAAGACCACTCATTAACAAAAGCCTACGTTTCATTTTTCCTGAATATGTTGCAAAAGCAAATCCCCATACACCACCATAAACCGTCAAACCAATATTAATTTTCAACTTATCAACCGGTTCTGTGTACCCAATATCCTCAAGAACGATAGAGAAATAGTATGAAAGAAGTGACGAGCCGCACATTTGTAATATTGTTGCCATGGCAAAAGTAAGAAACAATCTGTGCAAGTATGCTTTTGATGAAAACCATAATGCCCATGAATACTTCCTTCCATGTTGTTCCTTGGAAATTGCAGTTTTTATTTCTGCCATTTCAAACTTAACCAATCTACTATCTTTGTCGCCACCAGCATGGTACTTGGTTAATACTTCGAAGGCTTGATCCTCCTTTCCGTGTGCTATGAGCCATCTAGGTGACTCGGGACAAAAAAATGTTAATACTAATTGAATTGCAGGAAATACAGCCTGTAATAATGAAGGCAATCTCCAGGACCAATTATCATACTTCATATCTGACATATAGGGCCCCCAAGTAAAAAGAGCTGCTAAAAATGCCCCTGTTGGAAAGCTTGCTTGTAACATACTTGTCATTGCTGGCCTTTGGGATGGGAATGCACACTCTGCTAAAATAGGAGCAGAGGCAATCCCTGTAGCACCGGAACCAAAACCTATAATAATACGAGAGGCGAGGAACATCCCAAAGTTTACAGCTCCTGCCTGAATACCAGCCCCAATAATTGTCAAAATAGTCCCAAACATAAGCATGTGTCTTCTACCTATGCGATCACCAATAACAACAATAAAGGGAGTAACACACAAACTACCGATAGTAGTACCATTGCTTAAAGTACCTAATATACCTCCAGTAGGATGATTAAAGTAGCCCTGCCAACTTGGAAGAGTTTGTAAGTTACTCATCATACTTCCATCATAACCTACAGTAATCATACCAAATATGGCACATCCTAAATAAATGTTCAACTTTAATAAATGAGGATATTGGAACCACCATTTTGTTAGTTTTGGTGTAACATCTTCTAAGGTAAGATCTTGGTTATCATCCGCGGCAGGATCTATGTGTGAAATCAGAATCTCACTTTTACCTTTTTTATCATCCTTAATGTTTGTCATCTTTAACAAAGGCTAATGAAAACACGATTGAATTTGTCAATTAGAGTGGGAATAAGACATTTTATATTTGGCTTTGTTAACAACTCTCCATTTGCTTGAATTATAGCTCCAAAAAATATGTTAATTTTTAAATGACCATTATAACAATGTGTATGGTAAATGGACTTACACAACACTTGGATTTTAATGGAGACTTTCTTATTCTCTTTTTTCCACGAAGCTTTCTATAAAAATAATGAGGAGAAAACCTCTGTCAAGGAAATTAAGCATATTCATCACCATCCCCCACCATAATTGATAAGAATGAACTTGGGGTTTTAAAAAATAATGGAGGGCATACTACGAGCTAGCAATTTCATATCTGGGCAATAGTCCTTGAGACTTTGACTGAGAAAGCGATTGTAATATCAAAAACTATACTCCAAGAAACAGACATCTATTCTAATACCATACGAAACTCGAAGTATATTAAATCATTTATATTGCTGGAGTCGCTATAAAAATATAAGTTACGACAGCTAGAAAAGTAAACATTCAATATACTGATAAACTTTGATAAGAGATGTCTACCAACTCCACTACAATTGAGTCAAGTGTTTAATGTTTCCCCATATTTCAAAATGATGCTAATCTTCTCGTGTAGTCTCCTCCCCCACTAAAAGTGGAATAAAAACGCAAGTCGTTCTAATTCTCTTCTTCAAACGGAACTTGCGGCACGTGATTATTTAAAAAGAATTTTGAAATCTGTCACCAAGCTGAATGGGTGATCGTTGATCTGTATGAATGCTCTAGACAAAATCCTACGATCCCGCCTTGCCTGTAGTTTAAGATTAATCTTTCAATGAATAGTCTGGTGTATTATTCTGGGTTTTTGAGGTTATGAATTCAGCTTGGTTGGAATTATAACAGCGCTTTTTTCCTTCAAAGAACTGAAATATACAATGTTATACTTATAACTCTTTTCATTTGGGCAAGTTTCAACCAATTATTAACTAAATAGTTCACATATGGAATTGAAACTATTTCTTCAGATTGACAGAAGTATGCATAATAGAGTCTGTTGACTCTTCGCTTATTGGCTTTCAACTAATAAGCTGAAGTATACTATTAAGATATAACTTTCGAGCATATTAACAATATTATCAAGTCATCAATTAATATAAATTTCTATTCTTCAATTAACCTCCATAAACGGAAGAAAAAGACTTTTTAATTTCAATAACGCTGTAACGTGCATTGATACATAGTTGAAGAAGTATTCGTGCTTTCTGAGGGTTAAGAATTCCAGAAGCAATGGCTCCATCAAAATGAGTGGCATTTGCAACTGGAACACTACCTTCAACTGTACGGTGCGAATACACAGTTGGTACTCCATACTTCACCCAAACATCTCTAGCAGCGTTATTACCCTCGTCTGTCCAATGTCCTGCTCCAAATCCAGCAAACACAAGACCTTTTGCTCCCAATTCAACAGCACTGTATATAAGTCCGGCATTTAATCCTTGATAAGCATACAAAATTATTACCTCCGGTAATTCATTTATTTTTGATATATCAAAATATTGATGGCCATAAGGGCGGATTGGAGGATAGTACCACTCAATCTGGTTATTCTGAAAAACTCCAAGAAATCCTTGTTCTCCGGGCCTAAATGTATCTAATGCAAAACCACTTACTTTTGTTGTCCAAAACCCGCTTGCAATCCTATCATTCAAAACTACTAAAGGCCCGCGCCCTTTTGAAGATTCAGAAGTCGCAATTTTAACAGCTTGATATAGGTTCATTAGCCCATCAGCAGAATTAGCTGTCGAAGGCCGCATTGCTCCTACTATAACGAGAGGCAAGTCCGATTTTATTGTCAAATCCAAAAAAAAACTCGTCTCTTCAATTGTGTCAGTTCCATGAGTAACAACAACTCCTTTAAAGCCTCCTTTAAAAGCCTCTGTGATACTTGCGTATAGTCGTAATAAATGTGAACTGTTTAACAGTTTTGATCCAACATTAGCAACTTGCAAGTAGTCTAATTCGGCAACTTCTTTGAGCGAGGGAACCGCATCTATTAAATCTTTGATAGTTAGGCCAACTTTGTATCCAGCTGTCTGAGAGTTACTAGTTCCCTTGCTAGCTATAGTTCCACCCATCCCAAAGACCTTAATTTTTGGGAGCAGATCCATTTTGATACAATCATTCTTCATTCTTGTCTGAAAGACAAAGTTTATAATCAACCAAATCGGGAGCTATCAACCTTAATCCGCGAAAGAGAAACCAAACGGCCACAATTAAGTATAAAGAAATTTCCCCGGAAATATTAGGAATGTAGTACTATACAGGCAGGTTTTCCATCCTACAGTGTAATTAAATTAGTAACTAAATAAATATGGCTCACTGCGTCAAGGTCTTCGTGAATACGTAATACTGAGTTAACTAATTGGAAGACATAATGATCGTTAAACAATTGTATACTTAATTTTTGCACTCTCTTGATAATTATTTCTATAATTGTCTTTTCATAGAAATCCCTCTTGAATTACTATATAAATTAGACTATGACGTTTCATTTGGAGGTTCAAAAGTGAATTTTGAAACTAATGTTCACTGTATATATACATCATTCAATGGTAATACTCAAAATAAACACTAAAAAGGTTACCAAAGTTTCCAGGAATTAATTTGAACAAATAAATCAAAGTACGTTATCCGCTGGTTGTATAGTTATAGCCATTAGATTACGTTTTGACATGGCTAATCTTATGATTTGGAACCTCATTAAATGGCAAGTGAAAAGTATATTGAATGACATTGTTACCTCAATTCTATAAATATTCGTCCTAGAACATTGATAGCTTATATATAAGGAGACTTTTGGAAAATCAACGATTGTTTAGTATTACTTTAGCATTCCTTATTATTATAAATTTGACTAAATTTTCGCTATAAAAATTATGAGGTATATCGTTTAATCAACACTAGACTATGGCATTCTATTCTCCCCGGGCGTTTAGGAGTCATATACTTGAAGCTCCTATAGAACATTGTTCTTAATTTTTTTTATTTTGGTTCGAATGTTTCTGTAGTATCCTATCCATCAATTGATGTACCTTATTGGTCGAGTATATGAAACCAATTTTACCCCAGGTATCAATATGTAGTGCGTATCACAGAAGATTGAAAACTGAGTAAAAGATGAGAGAAAATTTTAATGTCTATAGAACTCCTTTTAGTATTGCCTGATATAAAAGTTAAATTTTCAGCAATTATTGGGGAATATAACTATCAAAGTGGGAAAATGATTCTGAATAGAATTTAAACATGTCTTTGTCTGCCACTTCAGAAAACTTATAAGTAAACTTAATTAAAGATATATCCAAGGGTAAATTCATAAACCCAAGGCTTATTAACTGCATTAGAGATCTTCATCAATGTGATCTAGCGAGTATTTTTCAAGCAATTTAAATTGTAAAGTCTATCTTTGTAGAACGACTAATATACATAAGTGTAGGAATCCTAAGATAATATTATAATG